TTGGAAGTCGTTGTTCAAGTTTCCCACTGAGCCTGAACTAAACTCAGAACTTCCCTTCTCACGTCCAGTTCCGGTTCACCAGCGTTCTGGATCCAACTCGTCGAGCTTTCAATAAACCTGTTAAATCTTTTCTTTGGTTCTCTGAGTGGTTTCCTGCATGTGGGTCAGATCCCTTTGAAAGAACATGACATCCTTCAAGTCTGAAACCATGGATCTTAAACGGAAAAAGGGAAATTTCCTCAGGTCAATATTTTTTTGGGTTCATGAGTGAAGGGAGAATTGAGTGGGAGATCAACAGATGGATTGGTGTGGATTGGTGCAACAAAACATCTGGTACACATTAATGGGCCGCTCTGGTGTGGGGAAGAGAGAGACGAGCCAAAAGCCAAAGCTTAATGCTTATCAGTGTAGGGGTGGTAAAATATCTTATTTAATCAGATATTATTTCAGCAGTTATATACTGTTTATGACACACAGTCCTACTAACTGTGTGTTAGAACAATAGATGAAAGAGTGATTGGAGCACTAATCATGGTCAAACAGTTATTTCTGCACATACATGGAATAAATTCACCACAACTTCTGTTCAAAACATAAGATTTTATTAACAAAAATCTTTCAGCTCCAGGTCAAACATTTTTCAGTTTAACACTCTCAACTAAGACTAGTAAAACTCAACTAAACTAAACTAACTACTATGTACAAAGAGGAAGGGGGAAATGGTTGAAAAACATATTACAGTTTAAGATAGATTCTGTGTTTCGAACCAAAGTTTATTTGGAAGAATTTGGGATTTGATCAAATCAGGTTTTCACTAATTTTAAGGAAATTGGAATGTTTTCAGACCAATTCACAATGCAAATCCATGAGGTAAATAAAACATTATTTGGCCAAATAATGTTTTATTGAATGATTTGCTTAATCAAGAACCAATAACCTTTAGTTAAATGATTCTTTAATCTCTTTGAAATAGCTAGCAGTGAATAGACATCAGGTTTCCACTAAATGACTCTTGGTCAGACTTGGTAATGGAAATGTAATGAGCATCTGAGGAACACGTGAACACTAATGTTATATCAGTGTTTAAATCCTTAGTGAATAAGGCTTGTCTAAGCTTTAGCAACAGCTCAACACATATTCCTATAGCATAGCATAGCATGCAGTCCATTCTTTAGCATCAGTTAGCGTTGTCTTTACTCAGCAGTAAACACATGATATGATTAGCATCATCAAAAGACACATTGCTTGTTCTGTCCCTAATCATGCCAGACCTGCAAACTTTTTTCCATGTCCATTTGGAAAGCTTGAGTTTCATCCAGTTTTGCAGCTCTGCAGTCAGGGGCTCTTTGTCTCAGTCTCACAGCAGGGGTCCTCTCAGTCTCACCCCCAAGGATATGCTTCTCATCCAGTTTGGCTCTGTAAGTTCTGAAACTCAAGAGAAATGTGTTGCAAAAGTTCTGTTTGCAGCAGTTCGGTTCTGAAGAGTTCTGACTCATCCTTGATGGTTCTGGGGATCTGGTTCCTCTGGGACCCGCATCTCCACTGTGGGCCACAGTGGGCCCCAGCTTTGAGCACAGGAGCAGAAGGGACCAGGAGAGAGGTGCTGCAGCAGAAGAGCAAAAAAGAGTGAGGCAAAAAAGACAGAATCCTGTGTGCTCTGTTGTTTTCTCTGTCCTCACAGGGAGGGGGGTAGGTTTTCACACCTCTGGTGGCTCCCATGTGACTGCTTTGGCTGAAAAAGGGGGGCTGCAGAAGTCCCCCAGCTGTTATTCACCAAAGCTGCGTTTTCTTCTCTGGTCATCCTATCAGCATGAAATATGGACACTGCTTCCAAATGTCCAAAAAGTATGATCATGGCATATGGCACAACAGTCCCCCTTTTGATCTGGAAATAAAAGATGCAGTTCTTTGTTTTCAGATCACAAATAGGTCCATAAAGCCATGAGATCTGGAGCGGTGATGAGTCAGGATCCTGTTGGCAGGAAGAAAGTTCATTTAGGGTTCATATCTTCTCCAGTGTTTGTCCCTGGATGATTTGTTGCAGGTCTGGCAGAAGCTGACCCTATCTTATCGTAAAACAGTTCATTTTCACCAGAGGTTTTGCATCTGGTTGAAGCAGGTCTGGCAGGAAAGTCTGACCCTGATACACAAATATATACATTCCAAACAAAATTTCCTAACACCTTCATGATGCTGTTGTTCAACCTTCATCATTTCTCAAGTTGTGAAACAAAAGAAAGAAAGGATTAAACAGGTTAAAGTATGTTAGAAATGATCAGGAACTATCATATTCTTGGATATGATAAGTTTTACCATTAGCTTGGAATTGTGGTACTTTGTGATTGGCCAGAGAAGCCAGTAGCTCTGTAAGAACTGTTTTGCAGATCTGTTCTAAGTTTTCTTTTGTGGTTGTTTCTGTAGCTTGTTGATGTCCCCCTTTACCAGTGTAAACCTTTGGTTTTGCATTGTGATTTGAAGGCTTATGACCTTTATCTGGGGGTTCTGGTTTTCGTTCTCTCAAGTCATTAATTCCTTCATCCTGGTGAACCACTGGGGAACTGAATCTGTGTCTGTTTCTGGTCCTGTTCTTTGTTTGAAGGTTAAAGACTCTAAGCTTGCTTTGAAATCTATCTGATTTGAGACGTATTTCCCAAACAAGCTGAGCATATCTGCGAGATTCCTGCATAGAAACATTCTCTATCCTGCAATGCATTGCTACATCATATCGTACACTTTTATGTAGATTTTGGATGAACAATGCTTTAAATGTTTGATCTTCTTCGTCAATATCTGGAGAACTGCAGCCCTCAAAATAAACCTGTCTCAAGTGAAAGTAATATTCTCTGGGTGTTTCATGTTCTCCTTGGAGAACTGAAGATGCCTCAAGCGTTGCTAACGCCGGATCTCTGTAACCAAAATATTCTTCTCTTAAGGTTTGACAAAGAGCTGAATAACTTTCTCTGATTTTTGGAGGAAGAGATTTTATGAAAACATGGACGCTTCTAGCTGTTGTTTTCCAAATCAGCTTCAATTTCTCACGAGAAGAAGGAAACGGCAAGTCTTTTAGACAGTGCTCAACTTCTTGCAGATAATCAGCTATGTTTGCGTGTTGATTTTCTGGGTCAAAAATATCAATGTCTTTGGCCAAGGATTCAATTTGTTGAATTCTATGGTCGCCCGGTGGGCCTGGCCCATCCGGAAGTTGGTTATGCTCATTAAGTGGTGGGGGGTTTTGAGCTAACCTTTGATGACACAAGGGAGACTGGTTCTCCTTGGAGTCAGTCAATCTTTGCTCATTTCCTCATATGTTGTCCTGCCATCTGGATCAGGACCCGAAGAACCAGATCCTGGATCCAAGCTTCCACTGCAGCTAGGCTGGGCTCTCCCTTAGGAGGAGCTGGGTCATCAGAGTAGAGCTCCTGCTCCTCCACATCCAGAGGAGGCCACTGAGGTGGCTGGGCCATCTGTACCTGATCTCTCCTGGACGCCTCCTTCACACCTGTCCCTGTGGAAGGAGGCTCCTGGAACACCTCAGGCTTCCTGCAGCAGAGCTGGAAGAGGAGTCTGGGTGCTAGGGGGGGGTTCCGGGAATCTCTGCTGGCACGGTTGCCTTGGCAACCGGGGCCTATGTAAGAGGAAAATTATAAAAAATGACAAGGAAAATAGGAATAGTTTTTATAATACCAGAATTCAATATAAAAATAGGAAAAGGAATTTCAGATCGATTATCAGGATAAACAGGGGAAATGTTGGCAATAATATTAGCTTTACAGTCGGCAGAAGACATAAAACCATTAATAACAGTAATTTTTTTTCAGATTTAAGCTCTGCATTATTAACTGAGGCCAACTCTAAACCAGAGGGCAGATAAAATGGCAAAGAGAGATATTTATAATCCTGTTAGATTTCCAGTTAAAACAAGTAAATCAGAGGGAAAGATTTTTATAAAAGAAAAACTGATGGAAAAATGGCAAAAAGGTGGCATGAAGAAAAAACAGGAAGAAGTTTTCATAAAACTCAGAAGATAATAAGAAAAAGAAGAAATGGAAGCAGAATAGAAAGGAGGAGGGAGAGATAACGAGGTTAAGATTTGGGCAAACAGGACTTAATTAAACACTTTTCTAAAATCAAAGCAAACTACTGGAAAATTTAATTACTGTGGAAAATATGAAACAATAGAACATTTTATACTGGAATGTCATCAATATGAAAGAGAGAGAAGATCTACGAGGAGAGAGTTTGAATGAAAAGATTCATTTATTAGATATTTTGAGGAAGAATTTGGAGAGTAAACATATACAAATAATTATTCCATTTTTAAAGAAAACAAAATTATTTCATAGAATTTGATTATAGAGATGGTGAATGTGTGCATGAGTTAGATGGGTAGAACAATAAGTATGTCATTTTTTTCTTAGAAATTATAAATATGTTTATTAGTAGATAGTCCATCACTAACTACACTCCATACCAGTAAGTGCCAATAAATCCAAGAAGAAGAAGAATCAGCTGTGCTAAAGCAGAGAAACCTCTAAATCCTGCAGGCCAGCGGCCCTCCAGGACCCACTTTGGGGATCCCTGTTTTAGATCATAAAGTAAATCAGCTTTCTAATTTCAAGGCCCTTAAATCCTTTTGACTGCTTTATAAACCACCTTCACTTTCTGCCCTGATCACTCAGGCAGGTTGCAGTTCATGGTCTGTGTTAGGGCCTCAGAAAGATTAGAACAGCAGTGGAAAAATAATGTCTTTATCCTGCATAATGAGTCTTTATCTGGAACATATTAAAACACAGAGTGTTGGTTATAAAAAACTGATGTGGTCTCGGTGGAATTTGGCTGTCGGCTGTTATGGATCCTCCGTGTTTCAGCCTGTGTGATGGGAACCTGTAATTGGCTGACTTCTAAAGAAGTCACGAACTGGCAGGTTAGTTGTTTTCTGCCACGCCAGCCTCAGGTAACCCCACATCGTAGGGGTGGGACGACTCTTTGCTGCTGTGTGTGATTCTGTCCAATGCTTTAAAGCCTCCTTCCTGAAACTGTTCAGACCAGACAAGGAAAAAGTGCAACAGGACTGAGTTTGTATTCTGAAACCACTGGACTTTTCTGGGTGACTATGACCCGACGGAGCAGGTCCTTTCTGCTGTTAATTCTGTTTGGGGTGAGTCCATATAAGTTTTTTTTTTGTTTAAAACTATTTTTTGAAACAAAATAATCCCCTTTTCCCTCATGTAAAAAATTGCATGTTTAGTTAGAGAGCGCTGGGTGTGGCCGGCTTCTTTACTGAGCCGATCTTCCACACGCAAGACTCCATCTTCCAGCCTTGGACACAACTTGTACAGGTGGCTACTTTTCTTTACATTTTGTCCTTTTTCCAGACTTGAAAACTCATCTGAAAGCTTTCTTCTCTGGCAAAACCGGAAAATGGCTATCTCAGCCTTATCAATGTCCTCCACTGTAAGACATCCTTGGATAGCTGTGCGTTTGAACGCGCATATTTCCTTTTCCATCATTCTGTGCTGCTGCATGTTCACTTCATTCTGATTGGCTGTAAGCTCTTTCCTCTTCTTGAAGAAGGACCAAAGCCATTCTTTGTATTTCAGCCACCATGCCACAGCTTTCTTTAACCGTATCCAAGAGGAATAGTGATGGATCAAGTAAGTGGTAGAATCCTCAACTTGTACAGCATTAAAAACAGCACTTTTCTTCACCTGTGGATCATCCTGGGAGATATGGTTTACAGGCTCAGGGTTCACAGGCCAGTCTGTTTCAGGTTGGCAAAGAAAAGAAGGTCCCCTTAACCAGAGTTTGTCTTTCAAAAGTGCCTCAACTTTGACCCCTCTAGATGCTACATCTGCTAGATTTGAAGCTGTATCCACATACTTCTACTGAGCAGGGTCAGATGATTTCAGTATTTCTGAAACACAACTTGCAACAAACACCTTGTATCTTGAGCTCTCATTTTTTATTTATTTTTCAAAAAGTATTTTGAACTCATCTATGTTTTCTCCTGTTTATTTTATGGACCTTAAATATCTATAATCCGCCCTCCTGTGGAAAACTTTTAGGCTGCGTCTGGTCTGTAGATAATTGAAGATCTGATTTACTCAGTTCATCCAAGTCTGCATACGAATTGGTCAATTTGCCTAGGGGGATTAAGGGATTATATGGTGGTGGTCTATTTTTTTCAGTCGCTACCATAGTTTGCTTGACTAAAGTAGTTTTCTGACGGGTTATTTGTTTATTTTTTTTTTGTTTTGTTTCGAACCTAATATTGTTGGAGACCAAGCAGAATGTGAAGGAAGGCTGCCAGCTGCAGTCGCTGCTCCACTGACCGCCCCCCATCCCCCGTTCCTGCAGATTCAAGCTGTCTCGCTCTACAAGGAGTTTCATTATCTTCTGGACGCACAAACAACTTAAAAGACCCACAAACATAACTTTAAAGACGGACAAACATAACATGAAATCTATTTATTGAATTTTTTATATTAACTTTGTATCTACTCTGCGCCTGTGTTATACCAACACCCCGCTATTTGGGGCTCATTTATTTATTTATTTACACTAGTGCTTATTTCTAGCCGGCTAACAACGTTTCTTCATCGATCTACCTTCCACACACCATCTATTTCATACCTTTCCTTCCACTTCTGCAAGTATTTTAAATTACTTGGAACAATCTGACACACACTTTTCATCCCCTTTATGATCTTCCCTTTACTCTTTCCTCAACCCATCTTTTTTAATTCTATTAACTACCTTGCACTCTTTAGTTATTTTATCCTTAAGTTCTATTATTTTTTGGGAATTGAGGCGTCCCTCAAACCCATATTTTTTAATTCATCTATTTAAGTGTTAATTTTTGGTGGGATCCTGCGCTTCTACAAACTTCCAATCGTAGATTTTAAACTATCCCTGAATTTACCTTGACCTTTACCCATTTTAAAGAATTTAGTCCAGTACAAACACCTAGGGTATTCTAAGCACTGGGGGTGGGGGGGTGCTGTTGGGCGGGGGGCTGGGAATACGATCAAGTAAAATGATACCACTGGCAAAAAATCAATGCAAAAAACATAAAAATAAAACAACAAGCCGCTCCCATCTAGGCATAATCGGAGAAAATGACAAAGTGCTGCTCCGTAGCTTTGTTTTGGTCACTGTAGCCGCAGAAAATCCCGCCTCACAAAGATACGATGTTATAGATAGGACGAGTCTTGAACTGAATTAACCTGTGTCAAGATGCATAGATGCACCGGCTGATGTAATTGGGAGAGAATACCTCAATTTTTTATATTTTTCAAAATAAAACATCACTCAAACTCTGATCGTCGATAAATTATATATATATATATATTAGTGCTGTCAAAATTATCGCGTTATTATCGCGTTAACGCGAGGCCATTTTAACGGCGATAATTTTTTTAACGTGAGATTAACGCTATGTGGTTTTATGGTAAAATTTTCCAAGTACATCCCGCTGCAGCCTGCGAGAAGGCGGGGCTATTTTCCCCCAGTCTATGCATTTCTCATAGGCTTCGAGAGCGGAGCTCCTCAAGGAAAAAAGACGCTCATACACTGGGTGACGCTAGTGCCTTTTCTTTAAGCCCCACCACCAACAAACAAGTTGAGTGTCTGGTAACTAGTAGCAACCTGAAATACGCTGAGAAAACAGATTACTGAGGTGAAATGGAATCTGCTACGGCACGCTTGCTGTCACAGGTCGGTATCGTGTGTGTGTGTGTGTGTGTGTGTGTGTCTGTGTGTGGGTGAGTGGGTGTGTGTGTGTTCTCATTTTTGTTAAGAGTCTGAAAAGTAACTTTCATAGACTACCTCCATCTAGTGATGTCGGTCTATTGATTTTGATGTATTGATTGAAAATTGTTCATTATTATCTTGGTTAATTAAAATCTAATGTTAACTGTACTACATTTTATAGCAGTAGGGTAAAATGCTTGTCTTTGTTCAAAAGACTGTATTAACTGTAAAGATTGTCTTTTACATCAGCCTGTTTTCAGGGCCTTTTTTTGCCTACATATTTGTTATTTTTTGCTACATGCCATCTTCTTGCCATATGTTTCTATGGCATAAATCAGTATCTGTGACCTGTTCTCATTAAAAAAAAGAACATTGGCACAAACCTAGCCTGTATGTATTTTTTGTATGTCATCGAGAGTATTTAAATGATTTTCAATCAGAAAAAAAATTTGCGATTAAAATGCAATTAATCGCGAGTTAACTCAGGCATTGATGCGATTAATCACGATTAAAAAAATTTAATCGATTGACAGCACTAATATATATATATATATATATATATATATATATATACACATATATATATATATAGTGGCTGTCTGGGGGAGTTTGGGAATCGAACTCCCAATCTCAGGATTCAAAGCCCCTTCCCTTTTTCCCACGGAAAATATATATTTATACATAAATAAATATATATTGAACTGAACTTTGGTGAACAGCTTCAACAGCTTAAACTTTGACTGAACCCTGAGATTTAGAGCAGCGGTCCCCAACCACCGGGCCGCGGACCAGTACCGGTCCGTGGGTACTGGAGTAAATTCTGGATGCTACCCACTCAGGACACTTGGAATACATTGGACGAGCAGTATGGAAGAATATTGACACGTTTTTTGTGGACTTTTATGGACCTTTCTGCCTCGGGCGCCATAGACCTCCGTTATTTGAATGTCAGCAGACAGCAAGAAGCCTCCCAGATCTCCAGATGCATTTGAGATATCAAAAAAGTACTCCAGAGTGTTGTTCAGCATGGGGGTGAGTAGAAAATGAAGGCTAATCATGTTTTGGGTGTACTATTCCTTTAAACATTAATATTGTTACTGATAGGCTGGAATCCAGGATGCTTTAGTTTTCTATATTAGCACCAGAAATAGTTATGACAGCGCAGCAAGGATGATTGTAGCAAACAAAGTTAGATCCGTTAATTAATATAGGAAACAAATTAATACTGAAACAAAATAAGATGAAGCGTAGTGAAATGAAGTGCTCAAAGAAAATTACCGCTGCCCCACCCTTACTCTTTTCATCAGTGAGACAGGTGAGTGCGCACCTATACACACATACTTCCTTGGTGCACCCCCACCTCCCTTTGAGTCTCCACCTCCAAGACACACCGCATAACCATTTATGTCTCCTACAGCCGGCTTTCAGTGAAATTCCATGCTCACGCATAAAAAAAGTCTGGTTTTTATTTACTGACTGTAAAAAAAACAGCTGGATGTCCTTAAATGTTCTGTGTTTCTTTACTAATGATTGTTAGACACCATTCTGGTTCAAACATTCTGGGGTTTTTCTTTTCTATTTCATCATTATCCTCCTCTTACTCTTTGCAACCAGAGCAGAGTTCCTGATGCAAATGTTCGCTTGGCCTGCTTCCAATTGACATATAACTCATTGTGACAATCAGTTATATGTCAACCATGCAGCCATGGAAAGTGATTCTACTCACATAAAACCAATATTTTGTACTATATAAAAAATAAAAAATAAAAACTTTGTAAAATTACCCAAAAATGGCAAAATGGAGGCCAGGCGGTGTTAAAACATATCACCCAACTTTTTTTTTACACTAAGGTTAAACAAACAGCACTTTGCCATATTTTTATTTTAGAATTTATTAACAGATTGACACATTTCATCAAAGTGTAGTTTCCACAAAAAAGATCAATTCAGTCCGTTCATCTTTATAAAACAAAAGGCGGGTTATGTAACATTTGTTTCATACAAAGGCTTTTGTTTTTGTTCTCATTTGAAAAAAAACAAGAATAAAAGAAGGCAAAGCATTAATTAATGCATTAATGTATTAAAGTTTTTATACTCTTGGGGAAGCTGAGCTATCAATCATGTAGAAAAGCGGATCCAGTGTAGCTCACCTCGCAAATGAAAACACATCGCCAACACAAAGGACAGCAGGCATCTGTTGGATTGATGAGGGAAAAGAGACCAAGCCATAAGCTCACTGTTTCCCCGACAAGCTGTGAAAAAATCAGCAAGACCCCCAAGGGACGGCTACGAATACACAATTACGACATTTAGTTTTAGCTGCTGTGGGAGCTAGAACAACACTTACTTTTGAAGGATCTAACGTCCTAAAGGCCAGGACACACCCAATCTGATTCTGCGTGCGAT